TAGCTAAAAGTATGTACCTTTAATTTTTAAGCTGTGTCCTTCGTTGTTTCATAGAGTAGAAATCATCTATAATCGAGTCTGTAGTAAATATTTCTACAATCTCCTTTTCAACTTAAACAATCATATAATCTTTGGGAAAATCATCTTTCATCTTGTTGTGGAGTCTTGTTTTGGTGATTTTCATAGCTAAAAAAGCTCATTAAGTGGTTGATGTTAATACAGGAAGAGTTAAAACAAGCCGAATCAATCTATCAATGAGAAAATAAACTTCTAATTTTCTAGTTTCCACCAACACTTGACATAATTTAGAAACAGAAGATAAATTCTGAAATCTTGGATAAGCAGCTACATCAAGCTTATAGTGTTGCAATGCATATTTTAGACAAATCTTTTTTTGAACTGAAAAATCTGAAGGATAACACTTCTCTACAAGTTTGTATATGTCATCAATACTAAATGATTTATAGTCATTGTGAGGATCCACAATTGAGCTCAAAGTAAGAAGTTCTGTAACTTGCTCATTGAACCTACAATTCAGTTCTTTCAATTGATAATCTAACACAGTTGTGAATATATCCACTCGATAATGATGCTCAACTATTATATCATCCTTTTTTCAATGAGAACGAATTATGTCACAAAAAGAAGCACTCATATCAGGAATTTGGATGGAATGAGTCTCACAAAAAGAAGTGACATCAGGTAAAAGAGTATCCCAACCACTGTTTCTTAGATCTTGAAGCAAAAATTTTATGCTAGATACTAAACCCATAACATTTAAAATATCTTGATTTTTTTGTTGCAAAGCTTGGCAAAGTTTATTAGTAATTCCCATGATTTCCTTCATCAAATGTAAAATGAAGACAAAGTCAAATGATATCAATGACTTAAGAGCAAAAGTAGCATCACCTCATTGAGAGTATGTGGATCCTTCAACAACCACATTTTCAAGAATTGAGGCAGTTGGAGTAAACATTCGTAAAAGGCTGCATATTAACTTAAAATGAGAACTCCATCTTGTGTCCGCTAGTCTTTGTAAAGTGCCCAACTGATTGACTCCTCTTCCTATTTCAATCTCATTAATTTCAACTAAACGAGCAATTTCAAGTGCATATGTAGCTTGCAAGTCATCATGACACTTGCAAGAAGAATTGACAATGTTAATTATAGAAGTCAAATTTTAAAAAGAAGCATGAACATCAACTGCTTCTCTAGTTGTAGCAATAATAGCTAATTGTAATTGATGAGCTAAGTAATGCACATAATGAGCTTAAGGACATTCTTGAAGAATTAAAGCTTGTAATCCATTCTATTCTCCATGCATATTACTAGCTCCATCATACCCTTGACCCCAAACATTTTGAATGTTGAGATTGTGATGGGATAAAATAAAACAAATCTCTTGTTTAAAAGTCAATGCATTTGTCTCTCTGACATGT